GGCCGGCCTGGAAGCTGCTCGTCGGGCTCCACTGTCTGCTCGTCACGGACGAGCAGACGAGTGGATTTTCGAGCCCTGTATATATATATAAGGAAAGGAGGAAAGAAAGGAAGAAAGAATGAAAGAATGAAAGAAAGAATGAAAGAAAGAATGAAAGAAAGAAAGAAAGAAAGAAAGAAAGAAAGAAAGAAAGAAAGAAAGAAAGAGAAAGACAATGAGAGGGGTAGAGAGATGAATAGAGAGAAAAGGGAAGGAAAGGAAAGGAAAGGGAGAGGAGAAGAGAAAGAAAATGAAAGGAATAGAGATAACAATAGAAGAGAAGAGAGAAAGATAGAGAGTGAGAGAGAGAAAGAAAACGAAAGAAAAGAAAAGTGGTTGGGGATAACATACGGTTATGTACCATATATGGTTTCCAAATTGTATGTTTTATTGTATAATACAGTATATAAATATATAAAATGTTTACTCTACTTTGATTAAGCAGGACCTTAGGCAGGACAGTAGCCTCTTGTCCTATCAAGCTCCCTGCTTTCAGGCGACTGCAGTGGGGTTAATAAGGCATGTGAAGCATGTGAACAGGGACTTAACAGAGGGCTATTACAAGGCATTTATGATTAGCTAGGCATTACATATTAACATAAATCCCTCCATTATTTGTTGATGGACAGAGTTGATTACTTGGTAATCTCAGGTGTCCCCAAAGTGCAGGCTCAGGACCAGGGAGTGATAGAAACCTGATTACCAATATCTACAGGCATGCGCAGATCATGATGGCCTGGTGCACAGAATCTATCCTAAGATAAAAAATAAAAGTAGTATTCAGAATGTCTTCTTCAAACAAAAAGGTTTCATGTTTGACAGTGTGACAGAGCTTTCCTCCACACTTCAATCTACTAGAGAGTATGGCCTGCCAGCAACCCCTGCTAAATGTATTTTGCTTCTGTGGTTTTAGCACCATACTGCTGTCTCGATCAATGCTGTACACGCAGAAGAGGGCTATGCTGGATAGGCCTGAGGTTTTTGAGTGGTTAACAGAGACATATCTGCAGCTTCTGGAGTACACAGGCTTGTAAAAGTCAAAATAGATGCTCATTTTCTTCCAAACATCTAAATTGACTGCAAACTGAAATTCTGCTTCTCGCGTCTTATCTCCTTGTCTTGTTACCCTGCCAGCAGCTGGGGAACTGCAGTCTGGGAATCTCTTCAGAAAGACATAATTTCAGATATAATTCTTAACAAACCCAGGAACATTTTTCGCTCTGGAAGCTGAGAGTAGCAGAGTGGTACTGCTCTGCTGCTCAGGAAGCTCTGGCCAAGACTACTCCAGAGCACCGTTTTTAAGGAGTTGTTTACAGGGTGAAATTAAAAAAACATAGTGCAAGTATTTAAGGGATTGCTAATTAAAATGTTTGCCATGTTGAACAATCACAAATCTCCTGGGATCCACAGAGTATATTTTAAAAAGATCTTTCCATATTGTAAAGTGTACTCATTTCCTAAACAAAGCAGGAGCAGACAGATGAGAACAAATTATGGGCCACACCAAGCCATGTCACGTCTCCCATTGTGACTTTCAGGCCAAGGAAAGCTCCTGGTTGGTGCATGACATGGCAAAACTCTGTGGATGTCGATTGGCAGGATCTGCTTATACCGAGTGTACAGGTGACACTACCTACTGCCAAATTCTTCATAACTGAAGCCCAAGTGAGTACAAGCTTTGTTTCTAAATGGATGAATGGGCAGCTCCTGCTGTACTATGTGTAGAAGTGGTGCTGCTTGATGCTGACTTACATTCAACTGAAGCATAAGCAGAGTCTGCCAATGCCTGTAAATGGATCAAACCCAAGCAGCAACTATTGTACTGAGCACATTGGCACAACCCAGAGTCTGGCTACAGTTGTAAAATGATCAAAGACTGGGAATGAGCTTCGGGTTGGCTACTACCATGGGTTCGTGGCTAACTCCCTGGATTTGCAGAGTTCCTGAATTGTGAACTTTTAGCTAAAAACTGGTTCGCTGCCAAGAATCATGAACAATCTATAATGCAGCGCATAGCCTTTGCCCCGGTCACCTGAGCCACATGAGCCAATATTTGAATGCATGGATAACCCAGGCTCCCTTCCTTTAAAAGAGTGTGCCAACTGCAGCCATATTGCCAGTGTGTGTTGGAGCTTTTACAGAAAGCTGAGAATTCTGTGTAGGTAGAGATACTTTTATTTTGTTATTATTATTGTTGACATTGGTACATGGCAGTCATGGGCTTCCCATGCCTTTTATTTGACAATAGTTTCCCTATTGCCCTACAAATGGCCAGAATTGAATAATAAGTTTGCCCCCCTATAGACGTTATTGGAATTCACCGCAATGGTTATGATCTTGATGGACCTGTTAAGTTATGATGGATGAACTCGATGGACCAGTGTCTTTTTTCAACCTTACTCCACTAGGGAAGTCAGAAATGGAAAAAGATTTAGGGGTCATAGTAGACCACAGATTGAATAATCGCTTGCAATGCCAGACTGCTGCAAACAAAGCTAGCAGAGCCTTGTATTAAAAATGGAATGTACTGTAGAGATAAAGCAATAATTTTGCCACTTAATAGATCACTGGTTCGGCCTCATCTGGAGTATGAGGTACAATTTTGGTCACCAGTCCACAGAAAGGATGTCCTGGAGCTGGAGAGATTCCAGAGAAGGGCAACCAAACTAATTAAGGGGCTGGAGGATCAAAGCTATGAGACAAGTTTACTATATTTAGACTTGTTCATGCTGGAAGTGAGGCGATTAAGAGGGGGCATGATTTTAATGTACAAAATGTTTGGTGGTGATGGCAACATCAGCAATAAACGTTTTACTCTAAACTTCCTAACAAGCACCAGAGGCCACCACCTAAAATTAGTAGAGAAAAGATTTAACCACAAAAGGCTTCTTCTCAATCAGAGTGGTTAAATATTGAAACTCTCTGCCACAAGCAGTAGTATCAGCAGAGAGTATTGAATCATTCAAAAATCAATTAGATACCTTCCTCAGATACCGTAACATACATGGGTACAGGTACTCTTAAAACCTTAAACCCCCCAAGGGACTCATATACACACATGCACGCACTACACACACACTTACACATAAAGGTTGAATTTGATAGACCTGTGTCTTTATTCAACCTCAAATACTATGTAACTATCTTCAAGCAAGATTTGCAAAACTGTTTGTGACCAGGACACTGCCCTAATTTTCTCATCTCTATTAAAGACAGGCAGCAGCTATCATATCGAGTATATTGTTGGCACTGCCTGAAGCCAATTTCTCCATATCTGAAGCATATACTGTACAGAGTTTGGCTGGAGCTTCAAATGGATCAAAAACAAGCAGCAACTATGATATTGAGCATATTGTTGGCACTGCCCAAAGTTTTTCTCTCTATATCTGGAAGATATTCAGTGAATATCCTCAGCTATAAATGGATCAAAGATAGGCAGCAACTTTTATATTGAGTCTATTGTTGGCACCTACCGAAGCTAATCCCTCTATATCTGGAAAATATGCAGAGAGGGCAGACTAGCCTCTGCTATAAATAAATCAAAGATAGTCAGCAACTACAAGTGTATTGTTGTAACCTCCTGAAGGCAATCCCTCTATATCCAGGGCATATACCGAGTCTGAACAGGCTTCAGATTAAAATGGATCAAAGGCAGGTTGGGCTACCTGTACTGAACAAATGCTTGAGGTTACCTATCACTGATTTGTCAATATTTTAAAAATGGCAGCCTAAACAGGCTTCATCTGTGATCTATGATAGGCAGCTGTATCATTATAGGAGGTTTTTCCTCCTCCTCCTCCTCCTCCTCCTCCTCCTCCTCCTCCTCCTCATGAGAACATTTTAAATCAATTCTGTAGAAAGTAGATGAGAACAGGCCGATCTTCCATCGCTGTGTAAGGCTATGTGGGGGAGGGTGGCTTTAAAACCTCTTTTGTTGGAGTTGAATAAGGGGAACATATAGAGGAAGTATAAATGTTGCAATTGCTGCCCACCCCTTCTTAAAGGAGTAGTTCCCTGACTGTCAAGCTGATCCTGTGGCACAAGATTGCAGATTAGGAGCTTTGACATCACTCTTTAGGTCAAGACAATTATCCCGTAAAGAGATTTAAGATGTCTTAAATGCCAAGGACCAGTCTATTATTGCCATCTCTCCCTTAGAGCAAGCCATATTAAAACTATATACATGATTAATTGGACACTAGTGCCGATTTACTGCCAGAGTGTAAGAGAAAACATACTTGTTTTGGGGGTCAAGCTTTCTGGAACAAATGCAGAAGTGGTACTGCTCTGCTTAGGGCACATTTATTACCAACTACTTGTACTCTGCTGGTTTAAAGGTCCAGTCAAACAACTAAACAGAGATAAAACATACATATAGCATCTATTTAACTGCCAATATAATTGCAAATTATTGCACACACTGTGCCATCTACTATGCATACAGATGAGTATTGAAGCCTAGCTATGGGCAAAACATGGGCAAGATGAAGCAACAAAACCCCATTTAGTGGAATGGAAAGACATTAGAACATCTGCCATGTATAAGTGTTCTCTGAGTCTTCTTGTTGCGGTGCACCCTGCACCCTTTAATTTCCTATCATGGTGTCACTGGCAGAAGACGTGAGTGGAGATATGCCCAAAGAAGACACATAATGTAATGAAAGCTTGACAAAAGTTCTAACTCATGCACTTTATCAAGAACTAAAACAAAGCTTTTACCTGGAAATGGACTTTAAATGTAGATGAGATGTACCACCTTAAACTCATCAGCTCTAAGCTCCAAGTGGGGATGATTGCTATGCATTGGGGATCTTACATTGACTTGTGATAGACTGCATGGTAGTTGATTTTAAATGTTTTAGGTATCAAATGAAGTATATATATATATACACACAGCAGCAGCCTCTTGCACTTGGTTATTGACATCATGTGTTAGACATACAGTTTGCACTATGGGGCTGTTGTGGCCTCATGCATGGAAGGATATTCTACGTGGAGTTTAATCAATTAAGAAGATTGATCAAAACATTGACATACTTTCTCTGCTGTGCTGACGACCTCCGTGTGCAGATAACGGCTACTATGACTACCACCAAAATAGTGATTGCTCCGACAGTAACCACAATGATGACTAAGAGATTGCTGTTCTTCTGCGGGGTGACACCATGCGGCGGATGCATCTGTCCGATGGGAGGTTCTGGAAAGTGAAACAAAGTAAGAGATAAACCGCCTGTTAAATGGCCACAAACAAAATGCTGCATTGAGGTAATACTGTACAATTTTGTTTTTTTTAAACATAAAGAGGAAAAGTAAGGTTTCTCCACTTCAACCTTGAAAACAGAGAACTGGAATAAACTAAAAATACATTGCCATGTGAATTACCTTCGACTTCTGTGACGCACTGTTGGCAGAAAATGCAACCTATGAGAGATTTTGGCTTACATCAGGGAAAAATACCGGTCTGCGGCTCCATTTCTCTAGTCATGGGTTGTTAATACAACTGGCTTTGCAGAAAATGTAATTATTTTCAATGCAAAGCCCTCCCTCAACCAGAGCTTTGGATAATGACCACTGCCTATGGTGGCAGGGTTGGGGCAGCACCAAAAGGTACAAATTGTGATAATTTTTTCTGTCCACCGCTGGCCATTTCAGGCTAAACTGAACTGCTGTGGAAGGGAAGTGTTGAGAGGAATCACAAGGATCTTTACAGTCCAGAATACCTGAAACCATTGCTGCTTTTTCTTGTTTTGTGGCTTGTACTTTGGAAAAGTAGCTTTGAATATAAAATCAGACCTAAAGCTGCCTCTCGTTCTATTGTTTGTTTTCAAGTAGCCTAGGGCAGCATGATGTCCCCCACCAAACATTTATACCCGCATCTGCTAATGTCCATACATCTTCCTTAAAAACTGATATGTAACCTTCATTCCTGGGTCTGCTGCAGCTTAAGATGACATTTACCAACTGCGTATATTCTGTTATTATATGACTTTACTGTTGATCTGCATTCTGAACAGAGTTTTCTTTCAATATGGCATGTTGTCAGGAACATAAGTAAAATACAAAAACAAAATAAATTGCGTATAAAAGCTTAACGGTCAAATTGCCATCTGCACATTCAGCAAACTGCAGCGCTCATCCGTCACAGCAGCTGCACATAAACTGTAAGACATTTTGATGTATATTTTCCGTGGGAGAGATTTATAGGAAGACCTTGGTGTCTGCAGTGATGCTGCTCTATGGACTTTCATCCCATATTGATGTGGGAACGAACGATATTCACAATAAATGTGATTTAATATTAATACTCAGAATTTATTTTGACTTACTTATATTGGTGCTCGCCAAATGTTGGCTTCAGGGCTAGCTAAACTCTTCTGGTTCCCAATGCAGGGGTTTGAACTTGGTCTTTTTACTTTGTAATAAAATTATGAATATGAAAGACTATTCCATACCTTGAGTTTCTTGCAGCTGCCATGACACTGTGAGAGAATACCTGGGTCTGGAATTGTGCTGTTGGTGTTATTAAACCCAGGATAGGAGGTACTTTGAGTTTCAAAGCAGATATTTGAACTTGGTCTTGAATAAGTTCAGAATAAGTTATGAATAAGAAGGTCTCTTCTATATGTAGTGCCCTGTAGGCAGGAGTGCTACTAAATGTAGTATTTTCAGATTGTATGCAGTCTGATGCTGATTTGTAGTCTGGGTTCATTTGGTTTTCTCTAATCAATCTGCCATCATTTGCATCTGTCTGCTGCTGGGTTTACCCTGGTCACAGAGCAGAGCAACTAATAAGGTCCCGTTCACACTGAGCGATTTATCGCGCGGTAATTCCCGCGATATCGCTCTCCAGTGCATCTCAATGGGGCTCTGTCCGTCGCTGTCGCGGGTCGTGCGTCGCTACAGCAGGACCCTTTTTGGAGCGGATTTTGCCGCGATTCTAGTTTGCTCAATGCAAGCATTTGTGCGATATCGCGCGACAAACGCGCAATTTGCGAATCGCTCAATGTGAATGGGGCCTAAGGGTTTGTTATGAGTGGATATCCCTATCCAGCCAATCACTGTGAGGCCAGTGCTGCATGCTGAGGGAGGAGATAAATACTTGGGGTGGACCATGTGAGCTCTCACTTCCTCCCCTGGGCCCTGCGTGTGGGAAGCTGTTATTGATTGTCTGAGATGACTAGCCATATGATTGCACTGGAGCCTTATGGCTGGAGGCCCAGTAGTTATTACTGATGACAAGGATGAACATGACTAGTGACTTCTGCTTCAGGTATTGCTGTGTCAGGTACTGTACTTGCTGTGCATGGAGACAGTGACCACACTCTGCCATATAATGGAATCTGCATCTGCCTGGATGATCCTAAACCTCCACCTCTCAGCTTGAAGTTCTACAATAAAGTTCTCAGCATCATATCTACACTCTGGACATCACTTCTATCCATTACTATAGAGGGTGGTAAGTGCTGATGGGCAAAGCGAGTGAAATTACACCTAGTCAAGAAGATTACTGAATTCCAGTAACCCATAGCAACCGACCCTAGGATCAAGGTGTGCTGGTGTGTTGTGGATCTATCCTAGAGTTTTCTTATAGAGGAAACACAGGGAGACCCGTTAGTTCTTTTGATGTAGATCACCCTTTGGAGCCAGCAGTAGGGTTATCCTGCATTGGGTTTCACTGACCGACATAAGGGGGACGCTACATATACATTGAGTTTCTTGCAGCTGCCACGATACTATAAAAGAATACATGCATCTGGGATTGTGCTGAGGGGGCGGGTACAGCTGGCTCTGCCTCTAGATAGGCAGAGCCAGCTGTGACTCACGCAGCTGGGCGGATCTCGACATCGATGTCGGGATCCGCTCCGGCTGCGGCGTCTCAGTATACCGCGAGCTATAGCTCGCGGTATACTGAGCTTAGGGTGACGGGACGACGCTAGTTTGTGTCCTCCCGTTCCCCTAAGGAGAACTATGGGGAAAAGCCCTGACCCCATAGTTCTCCTTTAACACTGCCTCTTCTTCAAACAGGGTACTTACATAAAACTTGCACATATTATCAGGGAGTAGCTGTGGTTCTTTCTTGCCCTAAACAAAGCTTGTCATAATAGGCAAAGCTGCATTTCATATCAGATCCTACATAAGCTTATTTCTGCTGCTCATTTGTTGGAGTCCTTACCAGACAAATGCCCCTTTCCTTTTAACATGAATCTACATTTACACAGAGAGATGAAGTATAAAGAGACATGATTTAAAATGCTTCCCTTTATCTCATCAAGAAGAAGGGAATTTCTTCAAACGCGGCCACGTTCTTCTGTTTTCTGGGAAGTTGAAAGCCTGGTTGAAGGCAGACAGGACTGACAGAGAAATGTTGGCTTATTACTGGCATTTCAGAATCAGCCATTAAAGTAACATTTTCTCAAAATGACATTCAGCTTGGCTCAGTAGAGGAACGCGGAATGCAAATGTAACGTTAACCCTTCCACAGATTTTAAATTTTGGATGAGCCACATCGGCCATGGCCTAACATAGCAGGAACATTTAAACATTTAAGTGCAACTCCAGGCAAACCATTGTATCTGCCAAAGGATTTGTAAATGTGGACAACCATTTGTTGGATCAAAATACCTCAGCTTGTCACCAAGATTAGTCTGCTGCTTCCTACACTTTATGGCCAAAATGTGGAAAGCACAAATTACAGAGTTCAGGCACACAACATCAGGTGAGTAAGGACATGGGTTCTTATGTTTTGGAACTCTAGTGCCCTGCACGCATTTGGGGTTAATTGGAATGCCATTGGCTAGCCAGATCTTCTCACAATATCCATACCGGACATCACAAATGCAGTTTTGGCTGAATGGACACAAATAGCCACAGACACACTCAAAGATCTTCTGAGAAACCTTCTCAGAATGCATGGACCCTTGCTGTGTGTTGTTTCTGACCGGCCCCTATGTCAACACAGGTTACAGTAGTAAAGTAAGGGCTGGCAGATGGAACCACAGTGGGGGACTTGGAAATGTCAGGTGATTAAGATTCTGGTAGAGGTTCTTGAAGAAAATAAAGTAAGTACTCATGGATGCCAGAAAGGTAAGTATTAAGAGACTTCTTTTCCAATAATTATTGGTTTTCAAACAACAAAAAGCCTTTAATGTGATTGAATTACCTGATGAAACAATAGCAAAAACAGAAGCAAAAACAAAGGCACCTTCCCTAGCGTAGATTATTTTTATTGAGCAATATCAAAAGATAGAATAATACTCACAAAAGCGTAGATGACAGTAAGCCTTCAAAGTCAGAAGTTGGTCGTCAGTCTTAACAAAAACAAGACAGAGCATTTGAGAGCTGCAAACAGATGACATATTCTGTGTAGCAGCACAGTATGCCTGGGTTAAAGTGTTTCTGGGACCACACTCCCTTCCTCAGGACCTAAATTCTTCCTCCTTCCCATTGAATTTTTAAGGTTTACTGTCATCTACTCTTTTGTGAGTATTATTCTATCTTTTGCTATTGGTCAATAAAAATCATCTACACTAGGGAAGGTGCCCTAGTTTTTGTTTATGTTTCATCAGATACTACAGTCTCCTGACTTATGTGGGGCAGCTACCTGTAGAACCCCTGTGTGCATACATCTCCAGTGGAGTGATAGTTTCCGGCGCTTTTGGCTTTTATTTTCGTGTGATTGAATTACCTGTATGGCCATAATTGTCAGGTATGTTCCAGACAATCATTTGAACTGAGGAAGCCACATAGATGAGTAGTGATGGACTATAACCTCTGAAAGCTTTTATTTCTGTCTGTCCCCCTGCTGAGTAGAATCACCCTCTCTGTTTGTCCTGGTGACCATTATCACCAGGACAGAAAGTGATGGGAAATCCAACATTTTTGAGTTGTCACTAGAACAAGAGGTGAGGGGAGCTCTTCCAATGGGAAATCTGTTCCTGTGAAAACTTTTAAGAGAGGAATTCCTCTCACTTTGTAGAGATTATTTCCTGTTGCATCTTCAGGACAGGAAGTGAAGATAAATATGCTCAATGGGACATAGACACCAAAACAACTGATGGGGGTTTAAACCTTTCCCTATTCTATCCAACAATAACAAAAAAAATGTTTTCTACATACACTACTAGCTACAGCATGACTTGGATACATGAAATCCCTTCTAGACATTTGGCATTGAAACTCATTGAAATTTGCATTAGC